CTCATTCCACCATCTTTCCTGCCCATATACCCCTTCTCCCAACACCTCTCCCCCTTGCCCAAAGTTCCTCCTTTTTCCCCACACACCCCCCACCCCAGTTATGGATCAGCATCCACTTATCAGACCATTCATCCAGCCTTTGGGTTTTTGGAATTGGCTTATTTCCCTTAGCATAATATTCTCCAACTCCATCCATTTACCTACAAATGCCACAATTTTATTCTTTTTTAATGCTGAGTAATATCGCATTGTGTATATATACAGTTTCTTTATCCATTTATCTGTTGAAGGTCATGTAGGTTGGTTCCACTGTTTAGCTGAAATGAATTGAGCTGCTATGAACATTGATGTAGCTGCATCACTGTATTATGCTGATTTTAATTATTTTTACCACATGTATCCCAAATAAATGTAAAAAACATTTTTTATCATTTCTACAATGAATATATATGTAGACAAGAAAGATTTTTACCCCTATGGATATATGACTATTAGGATTTAAAATTTTCTTCTGGGTTGTTACTGTGATTATTGATAGAACACAAAATACCAGAACAAAGTAAACATAATTCTAACAAATAATGATACCAAATACAAAATCAAATATTAGAAATGCATAAGCTGGGGTGGGAGCATTTATGGGTCCCTGGCTAAAGGGATTATGCAAGTGTCCCTCCCAGAAGTGTCTATGTCCCCGTAGTGAACCTCAGTTAGATTCAGGGTGGGTACAGGTATATCTACAGAAGGAATGGAGGGGAAGGGAACAGGTGCCAGAAGACCTCAGTTTCTTAACAGACACAGTTTCTTGTTTTGCCAAGGGGAATAGGAGAACCTAGGTTGTGGGTATGTCTTGAGACAATCTGATTTTAGATTGGAAGACACATGGTAGTTATGGATGATGTCCTTTAAAACTGTTGGATCTAATGCCTGAGAAGTTGTCACCTATTCCAAAGGACCCAGTGTCCTGACTGAAGATGGCTGCTCCATCCCATTGAGCCAAATTGCTTTGGAATAAGGGTGTTTGCAGAATGATTTAATGATGCTCGTTTGCAAGGTGACTTGTTCCTCTTCCTTTGGAAATCCCAAATATACGGTGATGGTCCCTGGAGAGCCTCCGAGGGTATTTCCTGAGGGAAGCCCATTGAACAGGCAAAGGGGTTGAACTTGAAGACAGCCTTTCATAACCTAGGTCAGCATCTTCTAGATTCTCCACTGGGTCTCAAACCTGTGTTCCCAGAGCACCAGGGTCAACGTCTGTTTCCACCAAGCATGAGGTACACCAGGACTTGAGCTCTCATTTGCCTTTTCTAGATCAGACATCCCTGGTTGTCTCTGCTTCCCAGAAGGGCTGGTTATAAAGCAGAAGGAATAGGAAGCTGTGTATTGTTGGTCTCCCCAACCTTCTCAAGGACACTCTGTGGCAACTACCCAAGCTTGTAGTAGATGCCCAATAAATATTTGCCGAGGGCTTTATCTGGGGTCAGTGTGTGGTCAAAGTGTCCCTAAATGCACTTCCTAACTGGTGATATGAAACCCACCTCATCCCATAACCTTCATTTATCCAGCGAGTCTGGAAGATTGGTCTGCTCAACTCAATGAGATTTGACCTCGAGTTTCTCAGCGGCTCAATCCATTCACATCCTTCAAACGATTCCCTTCCTCCCTCCTCCGTGACTTCGTTGTCTTTCTGTGTTTTATCTCCTCTCTGACCATCCCTTCCCTCTGAGTCTTGCCTTGAATCTGTCAACTTGATGGGGGGGCTGGAGGTTGCCATGGTAAACACAGCTGTTGTTTTTTTCCTCTGTGAAAAGTCGATCAGGGGGGTGCAGTGAGTCCTTCCCCAGCCCCTCCCTGCTGTGTGGTTCACAGATGTCTCTTAAAGGGGGGCAGCCTCCGGGGCTTCCTGTTTTTCAGGGCTCTGCTCAGCTTTTGTGTGTCTCTGAAGCAGGGCATTGTGACCTGCCAACCCCCCACTTAGGTGCCCTGGAAGATTGTGAAGAATCGCTGGTGTGGTCACCAAATAAGCTGAATGACAGCAGCATTCATTTTGTTAGTAAATAGGTTCTGGGAAGTGAAAGATGATCTGGTTTTTCTTAAGAGGAGAGAGGCAGGAAGGATAATGAGAAGGAAGGTGGAAGGCTGAAGAAATGAAGCGGAAGGGGAGCAGGTGCCAGAAGATCACAATTTCTTAACAGAAAAGAGGCAGTATAGGGCAGCTAGGAGTGGGCAGCTATTGGCACCTTTTCTCACCTTCACAATAAAATCCTCAATCCAGCCCCAACTACTGATCCAGCATCTTCCCCTCCTCTCTAGGCACAAAAACTGCTTGCTGCCCTTCCAGTACCATGAGCCACTGCAGGGCCTTTGTACCTGCCATTTCTCTGACTGGAACCTTCTTCCTTCCCCATCTGGCCTGGCTAAGCCTCGATTCATCTTTCACATCCCCACCTTTTCATGAACTCTCATGAAAGGCTCTCTACCCCTCCCTGACCACATTAAACTTCCCTTAGCACTAGATTCTCTCTTTGGGGGTACTTAACCCATTTTATTAATCCATGTCAATCTGAACTAGATGATGGCAGGACCTGTGTCTCGTGCTCATCATTCAAGTCCCCAGAATTTTGCGAAGCCCTCAGTCGGTGTTGCTGAAATAGTGAGCGAGAGGTTGAACGGAATGACATTCATCTCTAATCCCCACAACCACCCTTCAAGATAATGCAGGTGGTGCATTCCTAGAATCCCAGCAACTCGGAGGCTGAGGCAGGAGGATCACAAGTTCAAGACCAGCCTCAGCAATTTATCAAGGCACTATGCAACTTTGAAAGACCCTGGCTCAGAATAAAAATGTAAAAAGGGGCAGGCGGGGTGTAGCTCAGTGATTAAGTTCACCTGGGTTCAATCGCAGGTGCCCAAAAGGAGATAATGCAGGCACAGCAAGAACAGTCGCTGTTTGGGGGTAGGCTAGGAAGGAGCAGGTCAGCTGCCCATGGTCCCACAGCCTGTCTGTGTTCAGAGCCTGGGTCTCCCCATCCTGCCATCCCAGGCTTATGCCACAGAACCACTGTCCGTCACTGAAGTGTGGGATCCCAGGGGCTCCCTCTCACTTCCCTTTCCTGGCATCCGGCAGACCCCTGATTCTTCCACATCCACACCACAGCTGCCTCTGGTTTTCAGGGCATCCAGCATCACATCTGTCTAGAATCGTTTCCTCTTAAGTCTTTTATTTAATGCAACAACTCCCTGGAGACTGAGCTGGCAGAACTCGGTCTTCTGGAATTTATGTCGGTTGGTGAGCTGACTGCACTTCACAAAATCTAGCCATTTGTGGGGGCTGTTTCTCCCCACCACCTGGATCAAAGCCAATGCAGAAGCTGAAGCCTTCATCTACCACCTGGTGTCAAATCAGCCAGGACTCAGTTGCAAGAGATGATTTGCCTGGGGGAAAAAAATCGCTTTGGGTTCCTTATTTTCTTATTTCTGTGAAGAGACTGCACCTGTGCCGTGGGGTTTGGTGGTGGTGGTTTAGTCTGTTTGTGTTCTCGATCACTTTCTTAGGAGCCAATTCACCTAGAACTCAAAGTGTTGTATCTTTGTTCATATTTTCTAGAGAGATTCATGTGTGAGAAACTATATCACTGCCTGATTCTCTGACCTGCCAAGAAGACCCTTACTGGCATTTGTCAGACATGCAGCAAATACTTACTGAGCACTTTTTACATATCAGTAGATATGATTCATTGTCCATCTAGGTGCAGTGGTGCAGCAATTCAGGAGGCTGAGGCAGGAAGATCACCATTTTGAGGCCAACCTGAGCAATTCAGCAAGACACTGTCTCAAAAAAAAATAAAAAAGAACTGGGGATGTGACTCAGTGGCAAAGCACCCCTGGGTTGAATCCCCAGCACTGAAAAAAAAATTTTTGATTGTCCAAACTGGCACAGGTTTGAACATGAAAGTGGAAGCTACCTGATTGGTATTCCAAGCCAATAAGTATAAATCAAGATTTTCTCAGGGTAATGAGGACATAATTTGAACCCTATATATTAATGGCTGAATGGGGTTAGTAGAGTCTTGGGAGATGATAAGTTTTTTCAAAATGCCCTTAATGATGGAGGACAAGGCCAAGAGGGAATCTAGGCCTCCAAAGCCAAGCAATGAAAAGATATAAGGACAAATTGAGATTCAAGTTGAATCAGATTTCTAAAATGTCCCCACAATTTCCTTGTAAAAATAGATTTCATGTTTAAGAAAATAAAACTGGAACAGTATCTCTGGAAGGCAATGTCCCCAAAGTGGAGCCCAAGCTCCCCTGAGGCAAGGCCACCTGGAAGGTTCTGGAAAAAGTTTAGATTTTGTAATGAATGAAATATCCCATCAGGGTCAGGTGATGGCAATACTCTTTTTTGGTTCCAGGGATTGAACTCAGGGGCAGTTGGCCACTGAGCCACATCCCCAGCCCTATTTTATATTTTATATTGAGTCAGAGTGTCACTGAGTTGCTTAGCAGCCTCACTTTTGCTGATTCTGGCTTTGAACTCGTGATCCTCCTGCCTCAGCTTCTCGAGCCACTGGGTTTACAGGTGTGTAACCCTTTTGAGAAATGAATAGCTGAAAGGACCCAAAGTGAACAGGAATAGATGTGTTTTCTCAAACTTAAAGCATCTTTACTGTGGTTAACTTTTTGGGGGGGGCGATGAGAGGGGGTAATTAGGGATTGAACCCAGGAGCACTTAATCACTGAGCCACATTCCTAGCCTCTTTTTAAAATATTTTATTTAGAGACAGGATCTCACTGAGTTGCTTAGTGCCTCAATATGTTGCTGAACCTGACTTTGAACTTGTGACCCTCCTGCCTCAACTGTTGGGATTGAAGGCATGTGCTACCATGCCTGGCCCAACTGTAGTTAACTTTGCCTGTGGTAACAAAGGCCACAAATATGTGCACTGTCTTCCCAGGGAAGAGCTTTGGTTCTGAATCGGTTTGTTTCTCTTGCATCCCAGGTACCTGTCCTGAGACCCATGGACCTGATGGTGGAGGCCACCCCACGAAGAGTATTTGCCAACGCACATACATATCACATCAACTCCATATCAGTCAACAGCGACTATGAGACCTACATGTCCGCTGATGACCTGAGGATTAACCTATGGAACTTTGAAATAACCAATCAAAGTTTTAGTATCCTTTCCTTGCAGCCAATAATCATTTGGCCTGAATCAAGAGTATCCAGGTATGAGTGGACTTGGGGGTGGGGGGAAATGGCAAGACCCAGCACTGAGGCAGAACTTGTCCCTCTTAGAATACATTGTCATCTATGAGACTTTCATCCTAACCAAGTTAGGAAACTATTGAATGACAAATAGTGGCCCCGGACTAGCTCTAGATTAGAACTCTGGATCTACAATGGCATTTGTATGGCACATAGTAAAATCAGATGTGACTTTACCAACAATAAGACCCTAGAGTTCAGTTAGGACTCTGCCTTCTGTTAAAGGATCCGTAATGGTCTCTATGGACAACATGGACCAAAGATTTACATCAGATGATTTCTGTTGTTGTATCTTAACAGTGAAAATAATAGCAGCTACTGTGTATTGAGTTCCCAGTACTTGAACTAGGACCTTTGAGCATAGCATATCTCTCTCTCTCTCTTTTTTAACTCTCCACTGAATTATAATATGCATACAGAAAAGTGTGCATGTCGTAATTATACAGTTTGATGAAGTTTCACAGATTGAGCACACCTGTAACCAGCATCCACATTAAAAAAAAAAAAAAAAATCCTTTACAGGAGTCTTTAAAGTCCCTATCATCATACTTCCTTACTATTTCTATCCCTCAAGGGTATATTTGATGTAACAACCCTATAATGTCAGTATTATTATCTCCTATTTAACTGAAATTTAGAGAAGTCAAGATGATTCCCGTATGAGCATCTGGAACAGAATTCTCACCCCCCTATATGGGCCCTGTTTGTTTAATTTTTATGTGATCATAAAAAATGGGCCATTTATTGAGTACTTGCCAGGTGTTCCATCCCTGCCGAAACTTGATCCCTCACTCCAAGTCCCAGCTCAGCTCGAGGTTCCACCAGTCAGCTAGGTGGCTGTACCCAGCTTCCCTCACTCCCAAGCCAATCTGCCCATGAGCCCTGTCGATGCTTCCGCTAACATATACCTCCAACCAACTCCCCCCTCTCCTCCCCATGCCTACTACCCCACTAGCATAAGCCACTCACCTGGGTGACTCTACCATTTTCCCTGGCCTCCTTTCTTGCTCTCCTGTAATTATACAAGCTCCATAAATCAATCAGAGTAGACCTTTCAGCATGTAATCCATCTATCAATCTTTCCCTGCTAAAAACAGCTTTCTATTGAACCTAAAATAAAATCCAAGTTATTTACCCAGGCCAGATTCCACACCATCTGGGCCTTGACTCCCTCTTTGATACCTATCATGTCACTCTTCCCTTATTAACTCTAACCACCTCTCCGTTCCCGGTAAACCTCGCTCTTCCATTCTTTGCATCTGCTGCTCCCTCTTTCTGCCATGCATGCTCTGCCCCTGCAGTTCACAAGGCTAGCTACATGTCATTATTCAGACCTCAAACTAATGTCATCTCCGCAGAGGCACTTTCTCCCCCTATCTCCCAAGCATCACGAGCAACTCTCTCTCCCTCTTATCTTTATAGTACTTATCAGGATTTGAAATTGCTTTTTACTTGTATTTTTTTTTATTTTAGTTTCCCCATGTTTGGATATAAATTCAATGGGACCAGAGACTTTGTTTGAGCCACTGCTGTATTCCAGCATAGGTAGCCTTCTGCATATAGGAAGGTAGAAGGAGGTTACCAGAGTTAGAGGTATCCAGGAGGCAGCTGACCATGAAATCTACCCTGGAAATTTAACTTTAAGTTAGCAAAAGTTTATAGTAAAGCTCAGAATGTTATCCATTAAACGCCATAATGGTCCAAACACGTAAAAGATTATTTCTCCCATCAAGTCCAGTAGTGGTGATCCCCATTAGCAGCAGCAGCAGCATCCAATCAATAGCATGGAGCCTCGGGCCTCTTCCATCTTGTAACTCCGCAGTGCCATCGGGTTTATCTGTAGCAGACAACAAGAGGGGGAGGTGGCACGGGACCACATAGGAGAGGTTCCTATGAGCCTGGCCCCAAAACAGTATGCATCCCATTAGCTAAAACGCAGCCACGTGACCACCTTTAACTGCAAGGTAGACTAAGAAGTGTATTCTAGCTGTGTATGCAAGGAAAAAAAAAGACCTGGTTTGAGTTCACAGCTAGCTAGTCACCACCACAAAGAATTCTCAGCCCCCAGAGACCTTTTAGAGAAGGCCTCTTTAGTCAGGTTCTGGCACTTATGAGATATATTTAGAGACCCTGAGAACTGACCATCAGGACTGTGACTGGCATCTTTTGTTGATCGCAGAACAGACGCGACATACTGTCTGGGTCTAGGAGAACCTGCCTACAGATTTTGCCTGGCAGTGCAGCTGCTAATAGAATGAGAGTGGGTGGTGGTTCCCTTTCCCTCTTTACATCTATTCCAAGAGCCAGAAATCTGCTCAGGCTCAGCTGGCTGTCAGACTGAGCTTCTGCTCTCCCCAGCCTAGGTGGCATGTACTCTGAATTTTGCCTCCAGGCCTTCAAGGGGGAGGGAAGTTTGCTTTAAGCATTTTGGGAGAGAGATACCTTGGGGATAATGCAAAGGGGAAATATTAATAGTGCAGTTTAGGTTCTATTCTGCAGATGTGTGACAGCCTGCCAGATGCTAGCATACAAATGAGACCGTACCGTTCACCCTTAAAGCAGCCATATGTAAAATAATCATTGTCATCATGAGGATGATGATAACTGATATCCATATAGCACTTTTCAACCAGACTGCCCTGAGCACTAAGACTTGTACAAACTTGGACCCCTTTGCCTCTTGTCACTGAAGTGTAGCCATCTCTGGGCTAGGGGCAGCCATTTTTTCAAAACAGTCTCAGAAAAGTACCAACCAGGCATGACTTGAATCCTGCATGGTTTAGCACCTTTCTGTTACCCCTCTTATCCTCCAAGGAAGCAGAAGAAATATGGCTTGGGACAGAAGAAAGTGAGTTTCCCAAAAGATGCTTTTAAGCAATATTTAGACTTTTTTTGTTTTTATAATTATGTACTTATGATGAGTATTAGAAAACACCACCCTCATACCAATCCTATGAGTTCCCAGATACTGAAAACTTCATTTAAATTATGAAGAAAGTATATGTCCAGTATTGAGTCAATAGCAAGACAAGTGGTCTGGAGATACAGTTAGAAAAAGTCCTGACTTCCAGGACTGGCCTTCCATGTGACACTGGCATCATGGTTGGGCACTCAGGCTTTAGAGTCCAGTAAGCATGGTGTTCTCTCACCCAGCTCCACTTCTTTCTGTGTAATTTTCACATTTCCTAACTGACTTAAGCCCCTATTTTCTATTTTGTCATCTGTAGAGAGAGCTCTGTCAAAGAGGATTGTGATAATTGTGTGTGCGCGCTCTCTCTCTCTCTCTCTCTCTCTCTCTCTCTCTCTCTCTCTCTCTCTCTCCAGTGCCTTCCTAAGTAGATAATTGATAAACAGGGACTGACACAATCATGATTATTAATTTTTTTAATATTTAGTCTGTTTTATTCATAGGCTTACCTATTATAGAAACTCTGGGAATATACATAATTTGCTTTTTTAGCTTAGTGCTTCTTATGTGCAATATTATATTAAAAGATGTCTTTTTAATTTATTCGTTTATTAGATGATTACTGTTGAAAGCACGAGGAAACTAGAAAAGGCAAATGTTACAGTGGTGGATTGTGTTCTGTTGAATTTATTATCTGGGTCATCTTCTCAATTCTAGACTCTTCCTTAGGCTCTAGAGTTGTGTAATCTTTGCAAGACTTTGCTTTTTATGTCCTGGTTACCAGATATTTGCAGGACCTCAGATCCAATACCTTGTGTTTAGCTCCAGCTCAGAGCAAGGCATTCCTAACCCTATGGCCCCTACTGGTGAATCCTCTCCTTCCATCCAGAGCCTGTGGATCCCTGCCCATGTAACAGATCCTGGCTTAAAGTGGACAGACTTTGATCTCAACGCATAGACCATAATGACATATTTCTGGATAGGGTAAAAGGCAACCCTAGCTTTTCAATAAATGAAAATTGCTTTTGAAAATATTGCTTCTTAATGAAAACTTTTTTACCCAAATTCCTTTGAATGCTTTTTCTTGGGACTAAGAATGAGTGGATCTGGATTCATTTTCAGTCCAACAGAGAAGCTAGTAAATAGACCCTGATATAGTAAAAGTACAGGCACAGCCTCAACAACTGTACAACTGAGCACCTATGTTATGACAGGTACTACACTAAATCTGAGGATAAAAAAAAAGGTAAAAAGAAACTTTCTGCTTTCAGAATGACATCAAATAATTGCACTATTGAGTATATAATTATAAACGAGATGTGTTCTATAAAGGAAAGGAATAGAGTTTTATGAATGCATTTTTTTGAAACCTGCTTCAGACTAGGGAATAAATGGGCTTTACTGGGGGAACTATTAAGATATGAAAGAGGAAGAGTATGAACTAACTTGGCAATATACGTGAAGAGATTTGTCCAGTATGTTCAGAGGTCCTGTGACAGGAGGGATCATGGAAAATTAAAGAAACTCTTGAGAAGTCCACCATCACTGGAGCCCAGCAGAGCATGCTATAAGCAAGGCTGGAAAGCAGAAGACACACCTTGTAGAAGTATATTCTCTGGGAATGAGACAGAGGGCTTTGCAAGGAAGCCAACTGAACTCCAAGGGTACTTGTTCTTTTATCTTAGCAGCCTGTGTGTACTGAGATGAGGTCCATTTGGGACTGATTCCCTTATGGAGGGACTATATAGCTTCAACTCTTGTTCCAGCCTCTAGTGTTCCTTAGTACCATGGACAGCTGCCTCCCTTTTAATCCAATGGGATTCTGCCAGACAGGTTTTGGGGGGCCCAGTACAAATTGCTCTCCCTCATTGCTTCAGTGGCTTTCATCCTGCCAGGGGATAAAAGGTACAACTCAATTTCATAAATAGGCAGTCAATGTAAAATAAGGGCGTCTGTTCCAAAGACACATCCAGCACCTTAGCCTGTGTGTGCCAGGGCAGC